CCTAAAGACACCATTGGCAGAGAATTAGAACCCATCAGTAAAGCAGTTAACATGATCACATGGGTGATCCTTAAAGCACGATCAAATTACAGAAATCTCCAATACGCATTATGCATTTTAGTAATAAAATCGATCTCGAAGCAGCTAAAAATGGAGACCCTATTGAGTTTGATAACAGGAAACTTATCTGGACTGCATCAGATACTAATTTGTGTATACATTGTTCCATTCCTAGGCATGACTCACGAAATTGTAGAAGGAAAAGACCAACTCCCAAAGATAGATAGACACAAAATCTCTACTAACGATATAAACTCGCGCAGTTTAAAAATTACTCCGCATCAGTGCCTCGTCTAAAGGTCACTTTCGTTCATAATCAAGGGATAATGTTCGATCCAAAAAACCCACGCTTATTTGCTAATAGAACTAAGGATGCCAAACTTCCGGTCAAACCCTTTTAACGTGATCCAATGAACCTAAAGTACCAAAAAACACATCTTCGCTTGATGATTTGATTCATGCGAGAAAGTCATGGTCAGAACAAATGGACGAAACTGACATACCCTACTGTTCACCAAAAACACTTACACATGAACTAATGGACACACAAAAGATATTAAATCAATTGGATGCTATCACCGCAACCCTCGCAATAATCCACAATAACCTTACTTTTTCGATGCACTGTCTCGATAAAGTGGAAAAACACCTGAACATTTTTACCATCACACCAAAAAAAGCTGCTGCACTCAACGAAGCAGCTAAAGCTGAAGGCGCCATGGATACGAACACTGTTTACGAACTAAAAGTCGATACGTCTGAATCTAGAGTTGTCGAACAGGAAAAACATATCGCAATTCTTTACGCAGAAACTGAAAAGCTACGCAAACACAATAAAGACACGATAGAAAAACTTAATATTGCACTCAGAGCAGTGTCTAATATCCAACATAAGGTCCTAGATGACACCCACCCAGCATATATAATCCCAATTCCTCAACTCAACATACCCGGTGCAGTCGTCGCTTTAGAAGATGGCACAGAGGTTTCCGCCCTAGAACTCTACTTTAAATAATTATGATACTACAACCACCAGATATAAAAATGGTGCCCCTGACCATAAATATCGCCACTCATAACACTCGTTCTTTTACACTACCACACAAACAACAAACTCTATTTAATTTATACTCTCTATACAATTTAGACATCATCACCTTACAAGAAACAAATTTCAAAAATTCATCCCATACACATTCCTTAAAACCCATTTATTCAAATAAATTTATTCCTTTTTTTAACACTGACCCTCTGCACAAAGTATGAGATTTAGAGTTAGTTTTCTTATTAAAAAGCACCTAGCTGACCATGTTTTTAATCACTCCTCCTTCTTCATCGCGTCTTTTTGATAGACTTCCAATTTAAAAACAAACAAAAACTTCATATCATTAACGTTTATATTTCCAGTTCTGATAAAACTTTACGTGACAAAACCTACAAAAAAGCTCTAGACTTAATAAACGACGCACACCAAAAGGATTTCCTAACAATAATTCTTGGAGATTTTAACGCTGATCCATTACGATCTTCCAATCCTTTCAAATCGAAAGCTTTTTTCACTTCGCTCGATAATCTTCACATGGTTAACAATCTAAACCTCGTAAAGAATCAAAAATGAAGGATGAGCTCATTACCTATGAAATTAGTACAGGACGTTCTACGATAGATCACATTTTCATACAATCTTCATTAATTCCAGACCTCATCGATCAAGTAGTAGAAAAAGTTGATACTGATTTATCAGATCATGCTATCATATATGCAACTATTTCTTTAGCATCTATTAATCCATCCTTCACTCATCGTACAGCAATAAAAAAGCTGGTTTACCGGTACGACAAAATGTCTGATAATAACTAGTCTGCCTTTGGATTCTCAATCGACCAAAGATGTAAAAACACAAGACTTCGCAATATGTCATTAGAGAGCATACACACAATACACCATTTGAACTACTATTGGGATCTCATGCAAAAATCAATTATAGACGCTGCCACCAAATCAATCCCAAATAAGCATACTTCACATTACAACTAGGATCTTAGATCACATATGCTCAAATTGATTTATAAACGTGTCAAGATGGTTCAAAAACTTTGCAAGTTATGTAACAGATGTATTAAGAATAATATCATCGATACCAAATGGAACACTGGGTGTAAAAAAATACAAGCCTTCTCGATAGATTACAATATAACAATCCCTGAGACCAGTCAACCCTCTCTACAAGATATCATAATGATCCGTCTCTTACTAATCGATCTTCGTAAGATTCTAGCCTCCACAGCTAAATTGAATGAAGCTGAACTTAAAACTAAAGCTATTAACGAAGCTATAGAAAAACGTTGTAATAACTTCGTGGATGACCAAAAAGCCATGTTCGACTTATTATTAGAACGTTTTCGCATAACCATAACATTAGACAGATGCATAAACAATAACAGCCCTGACAAAGAACTTCTTACGGATCCAAAGGATGTCCAAAATGAAATAGCTAAACATTTCCAAAGAGTGGTTGGCTCACAATATTCTAACCCATCCCTCCCTGAGGTTTGGGAACAAGTTTATACGCCAGATAAATCAATAGATCCCAATATATACAACTCTATTATGCAACCTCCCTCAGAAGAAGAATGGTATATTATCGTTAGGGCGCTCCCTAATGGAAAAGCTCCTGAACTATCTAAGATTTCCAATGAGATGTTAAAACACCTTGGCTCATTTGCAGCAAAATGTTTTTGAATCATTATTTGCAGATGCCTATCACTTAATCTAGCACCAAATAGATAGAATCTAGCTTTCGTTTATCCAATACCCAAACCAAAACCCTGGGAATACAATTTAACAAACACACAGCCCATCACGCTTCTCGAATGCCTATGTAAAGCTCTCACAAAGTTAATCAATGGTCGGCTACTGAACATTCTATCTACCAATAACATTCTCAAAGGAAATAACTTCGCTGGTCTACCTTGCAGGAGCATCTTTGAACCCATCCACATTTTTGATGTTAACTACGACGCCTCATTTCATCACAATAACCTTTAGATTTTATTCCAAGATATGTCAAAAGCATATGATCGTGTTAATATCACTATGTTGATCAGAGCCCTTGGACGTCTTCAAATCCAGAAGCATTTATAAAATTTTGATCTCAATCTTCCTCCCTCGTTTTAATCAAGTTTTTACTGCGCACGGTAACTCTAATACCTACTTAGTTCTTTCAGGTATAGACTAAGGCGAAATCATATTACCCATCTTATAGTGCATATATTACGACCCGCTTCTTTATTTTGTACAAAACTCATCACACGGTTATACGCAACACGTCCATTAGAATACTGATATTACAAAACGTAACATACAAAGTTTTTCAAATCACGTCCCAACATTGGCATATATGGACGACACACTCTGGTTTGCAAATTTCAGATCTGACCTCCTAAACATCATGAGGATTGCCAACTCCTTCTATACACTTAACAGCATTTAAGTCAACTGGGATAAATCTGTTCTCATGATTAATGACAAAGATTTCTCTTCAGTCAATTTCAACTTCAATGAAAAAAATATTTGGCTCCCACCATTACATCACAAGGAATCCACTAGATACTTAGAAGTCTGGGTATCTCTGTTTAACAACAGACAGTTCATTACTAAACAAATTTGTGATGAGTTTACTAAAACAAAAAATGTGCTCAGCAAAAAAAGGTTGATTGCTAAACAAATGGTTGCAATCTTCAACACAGTCATTATTCCTCACCTCTTATATAAATCAAAACTGACGTTTGTTTCTCGTTCAGCTTGTGACACTTTAATGGCCTCCTTTAGGAACTTCTTCAAAAAGAAACTAGGACTTTCAAGATTTATATCTTCTTCTGTTCTACACTCAACCTTTAGTTACAATTTAGCACATTTGTATGATAAACAGATTCAAGCTAAATCATCAGACATCTTAAAAATGATTAATGACATTTCACTCCTTGGTTCAACCTTACAGCTATGAATTCTTCAACTGCAACTATTAGAATGGCTTCCCTTGTCCCCGCTAACTGACTGGCCTTATATAGAAATCAAATCCTTCAAAGACTGGTGGTCAGGATTACTATCAGCTGCTAAGCAGATTGGACTAAACTTCAAACAATGTATAGATAAGAATTACAATTTAAAATAAATAGATGGAGGGTCGCTACCAATATTACATTCCCTCCCTCCAAAGGTATATCGGCAAAATATTATGAAACTATGATCACTTTCAATCTTATACGTTAACCAACTCACTACGATGGATGGAACCTACCTGTTAACGGCCTTTGACTTGAATATGGTTTACGATTCAGTCTTCTATAGTGCTAAATAGTTCAAACAACTGGAGTCACAGCTCCTTACTAACACTTCTAATAGACTCTTGTGCAATAAATGCCTCTTCACCCATCACTCGTCAAAACGCCAACTCGACCGGCCAACTTTAACGCCTCAGCAACCAACCCAATTTTCATTATAATCTGGTCTAACCAGTATATGACATTTATATTAGGCAAAATAGTCAAAATCGAAGATACTATCATCTACGCACAACATTATTTGCCAAACCAAGCTGATTGTCTACAAACACCCATTGCCTCTTGTACTAGGTGTAATCTTTTTGATCTTTCAGCCTTCATATCTTACAAATAACAACAATGCCATTATTTTTGTACCATCAAATTACCCAAATCATTTTGTTCTATCTTTAAAACTTTTCACAAACCCTGTGAGGGATGGTGATGTAGTCTTTCTCACCTAATACTTCGTGAAGTCACTTTGTCTATATTAACATCTCCTTATCAATATCCAACCAGATCTTTACCTAATTTAGACGTCATCCCCTTTGACCAAATATCTATTAATAAATTAGACCATTTTAAATTACAATTCACTAATGCTAACGCTCTTCAATTTTATACAGATGGTTCTCTCATATCTTTAGGATCCCCTGATTGCCAGATGGAAATAGCGTGAAAAGTCAAAGCTCATGGATCAGATAACTTTAACAATAAAGTAGATGTTTTAGCAAAACAAATCTCTGATGCTCCTTTGAGTATTAACAGCAACCACCTCAGTCCTAAATACTTTATGAGCTATAATAACCTACTAATCATTACACTACCACGTCTTTTTATCAAACACATGCAATAAGCATCTTGGGCTGAAATACTTTTATCCTTCCCCTAATTTGAAAAATATTACAATTTTCACATAGATTGGCAAACTCTCTTTTACGTTCTTAATGATTCAGAAAATACTAGAGTGACATTATTTGATGCGTGCAAACGGAAGCAATTCAAGATCAAACTATTATTACAATTACTTCCCACCTTTACAATAATGAATGCAAGATATCCCCAAATTTATACCACTAATACCTGCTTCTGGTATAATACTGCAATTGAAGACTTTAATCATATTTGGTCTTATCCCTAAAATACAACTTCTCTTACTGACTTAATATAAAAGCATAAACAGTCCTTTTTGTCCTACCTCAAAGAAGTTAACAAACCTAACAACAATACTTTAATCAATGCTATCGATCAATCTTCAATATGGTATTGCAATTCCTTCAATAACAACTTATATTTTATGGATCTCATAAAAGGAATTATCCCTTCATCTTTTTCATCCTCTATCTCTTTCATCACCAACAACAAACAACTCACCCAAGGATTATTATCATCCTTATTTGATGATATTTTCTCCTCAGTTCACAACATATGGTTGACACGATGCGCATCACTACAGCATTGGAAAATATCAAACAATATCAAAGACAATTTCACTGTTGCGTGGATCTCCTCTGGACTCCCACAACCTACTAAAACTCCGCATAATAACCTCCTCCTTTTCTGCAGCTATTGCTTTTGGTTCTCACTGGTCAAATTTTTGGTACAACAGTAACCACGCCCTCCCTTTTGGACGTTCGATATCTGTACGTTAGTTTAGATTAACTTCTTTTCTTATTTAATATATAGTTTAGTTCGGTAAAGTGTAAGATTGGTATTGATAAAGTAGTTTAGTCTCTAGATTAGTTTATAGATATTTTTGTATTTTCTGTTTTATTTTGTTTTTCTTTGTAAAATCATAAATTTTAATAAAGATCATGCGAGACTGCAGCACTTATAAAAAAAAAAAAAAAAAAATCATTTTCACATATCATTTTTAGGTGTAACATCACTCACGTGATTTAAAAAAAGAAATAATCTATATAATAATTCAGTCTATGTGAATATGTGATTTCACTTGATAATTCTTCTAGAAGATTACTAGAGAGATAATAGGACTCATCATTAGGAAAGTTTTTCTTTTATATCTTCTATTACAATAATAATAACCTCTATTACATTCACTATTTTTATTATATTCACTGTATCTATCATATCCATCATCATTGTCTGATTCATTTGATATCTCATCTTCAGAATTACTATCAGGATCAAAGTCATCATTACATAAATTGGAATCACCGTCATTTATATTAACTTTGTTCGTTTCATCAAAATACACATTATTATCTAAAGTAATAGTGTTCACTTTATTAGAATTCGTCTCATTAAAAAACATATCTTCATTAAATCATGTTTCTTTCTTAGAATTATCAGAAAAATTATCTTTAGCGTATTTAGCAGAAATATGAGTTAATAGGATAATAGTTGATTCCTTTAGAGATAAAATCTCTAATGCATTATTCTGGTTATCTGAAATCTCCTCTTTAAAATCGATAATAGAGTCTTCTTGATCATTGGATAATTCAGTATTGGGATTCTTAGAGAAATAATCAACAATAATTTGAATTTGACTATCAGATAATTCTGATATAGAATTTGCACTATATATTATAATATACTTAATTTTATTAATTCCTATTTTCTCAAATAATTTGTATATGCTTCTTGCTCTCTGAGTATATTTTAGTATTGTATTACATTTAGTATTAGGAGGAAGGAGTTTAATAAGATTGTCATAAATCATACCTTTTGCTTTTTTTTCGTTAATGTTATACTTATTTATAAACTCTACAGTCTTTTTATTGAATTCTATAATATAGAAAATATTTAAAGATTTGTTTAAACTGTTATTTGATTTGATGAGGGAATTAATAGATATATAGAGAAAACTCAATGTGACTGATCATCGCATTCTTACTATATTATATAAAAATATATAAGATTTTAAAGAAGAAACATTTGGAAAAATGTCACTTAAGATATTATATTATTTGTTTTTATATTTAAAAAAGAATATAAGCATAATTCAGAATGATCTTGGTATTATCAGTTATTCTGATCAAAAAATAAGTAAATTAGAAGAAGCCAATAAAAAGCAAGAGCATATCTTCAAAACTTCTGAGGGTTCTTTACCTTTAACAGGTCCTCTATTAATTTATTTTTATATTAATATGTCTGAATTATTTTTTACTGAAGGTGTAGTCCAGAGGTGAGTAAAAATGTTTTATTTTTTTAGAGAGACTATCATTATTTCAATTATGTAAAAAATTTAGCTAGCACTGATCAAGACTTATATTTAGAATAAGTTAGCTAATCTATATTTTTTTTGTTGCATAGGGTATAATCTAACAAAAAATCTTCTGAGCTGATCATTGATCCAGATTGGTTAGATCAGTAGAGTACCACTATTCTGCTTAATTGGCTAGTATTCTTTCACCAGCTTTTAACATTAAGATGGAAATAATACCTTGAGTTAGAGATTAAGTAGCTATATATGTATTAGAATCAGATTGCTAAGGTAATATCAAATTCTGATTATTATGATTATTAGCAATATGAAATTTTAGCTTCATTATAGTTTGAATATCTACCAAATTTACAAAATTCTCAATATAGATATTTGGATTAAATGAAATGAGTTAATCTACAGCTTCTTTGCTAATAATATTACACCTTTTCAAATTGAGATACTTTAAATTAAGACATAAACCAGCAATTTCTTTAATAGTTATATCAGTAATTTTACAAAAGCTAAGGTTGAAATGCTGAAGTCTTAGGCATGAGCGAATAATATTACAAATTGATGTTTCAGAAAATTCTATGCGTTTAGAAATATTTAGATATTCTAATTTATAACATGAATTCGTAATTGCACATAAGCCTTCATTATTTTTTGCAAAACTATTACATAAAGTAGATATATTGAGATAGTTCAAGTTTGGATATGATTCTGCTATTAGCTTTAGAACTTTACTAATAGACTTAGACTTCATATTTTCTTCAAAATCTAAATGAATTATATTTAAAAATATGCGCACAATACCTTTGATTTTTTTATTTAAAAGTGAATGGTAGTGTGTTATTTTAAGGTGAGTTAGTTTTAAGCTATAAACTGGTTTTCTTCCTCTTTCAGGTACTATTTTTAAAAATCTTTTCAATCAAAATTTATCATCTATTTTATTTTCCTTTAGCTCAATACGTCTCTATAGAATAGAAACATTACATCTGTATCATAATCATTTAACAAATAAAGTAAATTAGAGAAATTTATCTATTGCTAAAGAATGTAAAATTTGTTATAATAGTTTTGGTAAATAAAAGATGATTGATTGCATTATAAATATTTCGTTTTATATATTATATCTTTAAATAAAAAAAATAAAATTATGTGATCACTACTCTAGAGAAAAACTACATCTGACTGATCTTTTTCTAATACTATCTAATCTCAGCCAATTTTTTCTAAATATCAAATAGCAGTACTTAGATTAAATATTTTAATTTAAAGTATAATTCAATTTCCTTAATAATTTTATAGGTAATTTTACAATTACTAATATTGAGCTATTGGATCCTCAGATAAGAATAAATAACATTTTAAATCGCTATTTCAGAAAATTCTTTGTGATAAGAAATACTTAGATATTCTAATTTATAGCATAAATTTATAATTGCATATAGACTTTTATCAGTTATTAATCCATCATCATATGCTTTTAAGTTGAGATACTTTAGATTGGGGTATGATTTTACTATTCAATTTAATATCTTATTATCAAATCTTACACTATTATATAAATCTAAATAAACTATATTTGGAAACAGATCTGCAATGCTTTTAAATTTTTTATCTGAAAGTGATAATAATGTGAAATTTCTAAATAGATTACATTTAAGCAATAAACTGGTTTTTGCTTTTCATGTATTATTTTCATAAAAATTTTTCATGTGTTACTCTTCTTTAACTTGATGTATTTCCATAAAATAGGAGCATTGCATTTATATTATAATCAGAAAATAAATAGAGTAGGATATAGTGACTTATCTATTACTAAAAAATGTAAAATCTGTTTTAATAGTTCTAGTAAATAAAAGATACTTGATTGCACTTTTTTTCTTATATTTATTTGAAGAAATATATAAAATATTCTATTTGTGAATTTAGATCAGAGAAATAAAAAGTATGTTTAATTTATTATCCCAAAATCTATGATTAAGAAAGCAAATGAATTATACAAAAATAATATATTTAATAAAAGTATATTACTGCAGATCATATGAAAAGATTTTATTGTCAAAACTACTGTAAATAAACCTTTCAATCTTTTTTGTAATATAATTATTTCTATAAATTCTTATTTTAAGTATAATTTCATATAACCTATTCAAAGGTTTTAAGAGTTTCTTATATTCAAGCTTAATTTTTACTTTTTCATTAAAATCTTTGAAGAAAGCTTTTTTTATTTCTTCTCTACGTAAGTCTGAACCTGATAATGAAGTATATACCTTATATTCTTTATATGCTGTTATTATGAAATTCTTCAATTCTGGGTAGTTACATTATCAAATCTCTACTTGAAATGTCTAACTGCGGTCTACTGCAATCAAAATGTTAGGATCTACCTAACTCTTAACTTTATCAAATTTATGCATTAGACTTAAACAAATCTATCAAGTATGAAGACTTGAAAGACGAGATTATGAATAATTTAATTAAAGAATTCAGATAATAAACTCAATTATAAATAATGTGTAGGGATCACGTCAAACTATATGAAGATACAAAGAGATAGAAAGATATAAGTTTTAAATAATTCCTTTATTAATATTGAAACTTGTACTTGCAAAAGAGTTTACGAATCTGCAAAAGAGTTAATTTATAACATAAGCAAAAAGTCTATCTATTTATACAAAATTTCTTTAGTCACAGCTAACTAATTACTATACTATAAACTAACTAATTTAGCAAAATAAAATATGAGTAAAATAAATATATTAAAAATACATAAAATAGTAAAAATATAAAATATAATAAAAATAATAATAAAACTTAGAATATTAAAAATAAGTATAACACTAAATATTTTTAAACTTCATTTAATTCGTAAAATTAGAATTATTATTAGTATTTGAAAGATCTTTAGAATTATATAGATCCTCCGTATTTTCAGAATTCACAGAATTCTCAGTATTTTCAGAATTCTGGATTAAGAGATCATTATACTGTGTCATCCATGTGACTTTATTATGACTGATCAATTACTCCGTTGACAATGCTTCAAAAATTTATTTGGTAATTAGTTATCTTGAACTAATACTGAACTATCTTTACCTTTTTTAAGTACTAATACTGATAAAGTTGGAGAAAGTGTTTAATTTGATTAATTAAGTGTATCTTTTGCTTCAAAAAGGCTATTTATTGTTAGCATAGCTAACTAGTTGTATTTTATATTTTATCTTTAATCAAAAAAAATAAAATTATGTGATCACTACTCTAGACTAAGGTTTTCCAATATTTCATCTAATGCAAGTACTTGTAAACTATTTATTAAAACTTTAATCTTATTTTTGAGTGATAATCCTTTTAATAATGTAGATCTAAGGAATTCTTCACTCTTGTTATACTCTTTCAGTTTCAAATAAAAATTCTTGACTGTATTTTCATCTTAAACCAATGACATAGTATGAAAATCGAAAAGAGTCTTTCTTTTAAACTATTCAAGATTTACCTTCTTTGCTTATATATTATTTATACTGCAAAAATTTTTTAGATCTTGGTTTGAAAGATCCTTTAGAATAAATGGTATTAATTCTGACAAAAATGTTTTAATAAATTAACTATATGCATTTTTTATATGGTTAAAATTAAAGATGGTCCCCATAATTATTTTCAAATTTCAATTGAGTTGCAACTTAATTGCGTCATAAGAAAATTTAATTGCACCACAAGTTGCAACTCAATTGCGCCATTTTTTTTAATTGCAGTGACCATCTTTAGTTAAAATATCTTTCAATCAAAAAAAATAAGGGTAGCTATTATATGAAATTATCACTTCTTTGGACTAATTATCAGATATTCACTTAGCTTAGAATAATCAAATATATCTACAACCTTATCTTCCTTTATATTCTTAATAATAATAAAGTTAGATTATGCACGAATAAAGATTAATAGAAATAATAATTATATGCCTGTTAATATTTATAAACTAGTTGCAGAAGTCTTCCAAAAAATAAATCTTTTGTTAATCATATTAATGGTATTAAAACTGATAATTGAGCAGATATTTAGAATGAATGTTTTCAAAAGAAAATGCTAATCATAAAGTATTTTCA